TTGGGCCTGCGCCACGTGTTTCCACGCCCAGAAGTCAGTCACCGTCAGCATCACACTCCTATGTCGCCGTCGTCGATCTTGCACCGTCTTTTGTACCAACCGACTTGCGTCGATTCGTCAGACTAACTAGCCCGACTCGGCCGAACTTGTCCGGCCGCATGACATGCTCCAGACTCCCCGAGCCTCATACGCACATCATCTGTCTTGATTTCCCTTCGACCATCATGCTGAACTAATGCCATCGCTGACCATCTTCATACACGATCTACGTAAAAAGCCAAGAACTCCAAAGGAAAAAACACATAAGCCTTCTTGTGTGCGTACAACAGCAGCTACACCACACGTGACTTTCCAAGCCTTTTCTCTTCTTCTTGAACAAACATACTTGATCGATCCAATGTGATAGCCATCAAGTCAATGCCCCCGCAAAAAAAATGCCCCAGTGACAAGACAACACCGAGCAATGCCCTTGACCTCAATGAACGATGTCCTCCACAGCAGCTATTGATTGCATTGGGCCCACTGGCCTGCCTTGCGCTGCGTTCCGTCCCATCGCGATCGATCTCGCCGAGACCGAGCCCGACTTGATTTAGCACACTGCATGTTGCCTGCCTGCCGCCGTCGCTGCACCGACCTGCCGCTGCCTTGGTTGTTTCTGATTGCTTCTAAACCTGCTGCTTTGGCATCCGTGTCATGACCATTATTGACCTTCACATCAGACCTGCTCTGTTGCGAACCGTCAATTGATTGGGGACAAAACACACCGCCTCTTTCCAAGACCGACCATCACAGCTTTTCCTCTTGATATAACAATCCAGAGCCTCTTCAGAACCTCACTCTGATACCACTTGTTAGAATAAATCTGAGGCATACCGTTGATCATCCGAGGACCAAGCAATCACATGAGCACGACACCAAGATTTGTTAACGAGGTTCACTGATATGGCTACATCCCCGGGGCCTGACTATGGGCGCTCCTCCCCATGACACCGCTACAATACCGCACCCGGTCGCCGTGGACACCGGCACATGCCGCCGGCTTCCCCTGCGTTCTGATGCTATTATGTTGGCATATGTTACATCGTGTGTCTAGCCCCGCTATATATGAGAGGCCTAGGATACAAGTGTCCTACTTGGACACGGCTCCATATCCTATCTAAACACAATACAACTACAAGTCCAACTGTAACCTACCGTGTACACTATATTCGACACAACTCTAACAGCCACACCACCACATCGCCGATCGGGCACCTGCCGACCGCAATGTAGTGCACGCCCAGCCTACAGGAATCACAAATGGGACCAAGATCTTCAAGACGGCACCCCCAAGAGGGAATACGACGTTCAAGACGACGACGACGCCTGATCCAACCAGGATCATGACTTTTGCCAGAAGATCTTAACCTGAGAGCGAAGGATGCCCAAATCACCTCAACGGTGCCTCCAAGGAAGAAAGCAACGCCCACGGGCGCCGCCGCCACCGGCCGGCAAGAACTGGCCAAGCTTTCGCTCGGATCATCGACACCACCACTCCCACGCCAGCAACTCCACTGACCCGTGCACCCCTGCACAACAACAGCGCCATGACCGTGCAGGGAACACCACCACGCCTTACTATCAAGCCAACCATGGCAAACCACTAGCACGTAGACTAATGCACGTCCTCCGGACAGGGAAGGGCAGATTGCCACCCCGCATCCTCCCGCCAGCCGGATCTGGTGGTTCAAAGTCCGTACAGAAGCAGACACAACAGCCCGAGCCGTCGGAGCTGTGACGTGCCAAAGAACCGCCCTCGCCGAGCTGCCAAGACAAGAAGGACAAGCCTCCCACCACCAGCACACCGCGGCCGCAGCTTCGCCCGCGCAAACACCACAGCCACCGACATGTCAACCACCTTCTCGGGACCACCCCCGGATGCCAGCCCTCGATGCCCACCAGAGCTCACAGCTCCATGGGGCCACCAAGCACCACATCGTCGATGCACGCCGCCCGGTGCAGTCCCTCACTGGCACCAACAACCCCACCATGGAGCCGCCGAGCACCAGCCCGCCGACGCGTCGCGCGCCACTCCGCCGCAGCCACCGAGGGCGGAGAAGCCAGATCCGGGCAATCGAACCGGATCCGGGCGCTCTCCTCACAGACGCCACCCCGCAACCCCGTCGGCCGCCCACGCCTCCAGGAAGACGCAGCCGCCGCGCGCGCTATACCGCGAAAGAGGAAAAACGCCCCGCCGCCACCCTCCCCGAGGCATGCGTGGGCTTCACCGGCGGCCCCTCCAACGGCGGCAATGCAGGGGAGCGGGGAGAGGAGGGCTTTGCGGCGGCGGCACTAGGTTCCCCCGTGTCGCCCGAGTTAGGCGGCACGGGGGGTCGGGTGTGTGTTGGATAGCCCTGCAGTTTTCCCAATCTATCTATCACTGTCTTCAAAACTGAGGTGGTCCCACAGGTGATAGTACTATTGAACTGAAACAACACTAATAACATTCGATGAGCTAGCATACGAAATTGAAAAGAAAAAAGGGCGAGTTCCAAAGAGGATGACCTCGAGATAATCCCCATGAATGAAATAAGAAAGGAAAACTCTTAGAATCAGCCAGTTGATTATAGGCACGCGCATCAGTCGTGTTGCTAGCCGGCCACGTGTTCTTGGTGGACCACGCTGAGGTTTGGTTTAATTTCTTTCCTCACGCGTGGACTACTATTGGCGCAGATGCAGGAAGCGTTGTTGCTTCCTGCTAGTACTGCTTCGTCTCCCATGTATGGATACATTGTCATGGACGAGTGGACGACATGCTACGATGTTACTTGAGTGTTTGCTACAATCACATGCCGCAAGTGTTTCCCTGTGCTAGCTCCTCATGATATATTCAATTTTTTTCCCTGATGTTTTTGCTGCAACCAAATGATATTATTTTTGTGGGGAACCAAATGATATTTTATTGCGTACGAAAGTCGGTCGTGCTAGGGCTACAAGGACGGTTGGCGCTGCTGCAATTCGCATGCGCGACAATATAAAGTTGGTCAAATTCAAGCGAGAGACTGATTGTTGTTGCTGCAAGCCGGGCATGTATGCTGCAAGTCTGGACACTGCATTTGTTTTTGTTGGAAAGCTGCATGCCCGTGTCGCCGTGTTGTAAAACCTGGGCGACGCTGCAAAGCCGATTGATGGCGGTTCCGGCTGGACGTGTGACGCTTCAAGTCTGGCAACCATACTTAATTTTTTGCTACGATGTCGTAGTAGTCGTGTTGCAAAAATTAAACGATGTGCAAAGCTAGTCAACACTACTCCAAGCCGGATGCAATAATGACAGCAACTTTTTTGTTGCTACAACAGCTGGACTGTTGTGCTACATAACCATGTGACGCGGCAAAGCAAGCCACGCGGCGCTACAAGGGGGACTAGTGTTGTTGCAAGTCGGCTCTAAATGTTGCAAGCTAGGCATACGTCGATGCAAGGTCGGCCATCTCCGTTGCAAGCAGCTCACACTTTTTTTTACAAAGCAGGCCGCGCGATGCTGCAACTGTCGACACCATCACGGGTGTTACGGCCGCTACGAGGGCTTCGCCTAGTGTGTCGGTGTTGCAGCTATTTCGAAAGCATCGTCAATGATGTGACCATTTGCAGGTGCATCACCGCTATTGTGGTTAGTGCATGGGGTGTCTGACATTGTTATGATGACGGCCGGCGGTGTTGCGATGTTACGACAGCAGTTAATGTTGTTGCGATGTTATGACAGCAATCGATGTTGTTGCAATGTCACAACAGTGTTGCGGTGTTAAGGCGGCGGTCGACGGTGTTGCAATGTTACGATAGCAAAAATGTGTTGGAATATGTTGCGATGCTATGACGGCGGTCGACGGTGTTGTGATGCTATGACGGCTGTCAACAGTGCTGCGATGCTACGACGATGGTCGATGGTGTTGTGATGCTAAGACGGCTGTCGACGGTGGTCGATGGTGTTGTGATGTTATGACAACGGTCGACGGTGTGATGATGTTACGATGGTGTTGCAATGTTACAGGCATGGTTGATGTTGTTGGGATGTTACGATGGCAGTCAATGATGTTGCGATGTTACGGCGACGGTGTTGCAATGAGGACTAGTGGGGTACACGGCAAACGCCGTGACCAGACCGCTGGTTGGAAGGTGTATGCACAAAGAGAAGGCGATGTTGGAACCGCTCGATGCGTCCCATCAAATGATTTGGCATGCACGACATAATCTTTGGCCAAGTCATGATCTATTTTCTTCTTTCTTTTGCAATTATCGGATAGGCTAATTTACCTTGCATGTGGACTAGTCATGATGTACTTTGTGGTTTGTTTGCTACCAGCGTGTAGGTACGTGAAGCAAAAGTGTAGTGGCTAGTAAATAGAGATAGTGTGTACGGTTCATGGGGCCCATGTAAATGGAGAAGGCCGGGAGCAGCCTGTTGAATGGGACGGATCAGACGGCTAGAGACAGCGCTGACGAGAGCTAGTTCCGTGCTGCTCACTGCAACTTGGTGCGAGAAACTTCAGATACAGACGGATCAGACGGCTGCGGACCCGGCTGATCTTTGGCAAAGATCAGCCGGATGACGCCTAGCATCGGCCGCTTTACCTCTTCAAGCAAATATAGGAATTTAACAAAACTTCGTTTCAGTTAAGAGATGCCCCCATAGGCTCAAATCAGCAGTATCCTACTGGCTACTGGTCAGCTCTTACTCTTTGGCCAAGAAATGATAGAAATCTGGAAGCAAATGGAAGTTCTCGCACAGTAAACAAATTCTTGGCCATCTTTGCTTTCACAAAGCCAGTCCCTGAGTTCTAACATGTCAACCCAAAAGCTAGGCATCTAGACAGATCTAGTTACTTCACTACACTGAGTGAACTACATCTAGAATATGCAGCTACAATTAAATATGCCTCATCTGAAATAAAAGAACATGAGGCGATATTAACAGCACTGCTAACCATATCAGCCCAGCTCCAGCTAAAACTATCAGATGTAGACCATTACATATGACAAAACCCAGATGTTTGAACAAAACCATCTCTACTATGGTTATACCTACCATACAAGCTTCGCTGGTTTGCTGAAGCAAGAGGTTCGGCTGAAGACGCGCAAGCCCTGTCTGGATATCTTCCTCTATGTACATTGCCGTAGGGGTGAGTTGGCAAGGAAGAATCTGAGACAAAACCCATGCTTTCCGGGAAGTACCTTGTTTGCGGATTGGAATGCGAGAGCCTTGTACATGAGACAAAGTTGCCAAGAGGATGATCAGGAGCATAATATGGCCCAAAAATTGAGGTGATTGGATCAAGGCCAGCATTGTCACCATAATCCACAACACTGAATGAATCTCTAGTGCTTTCCGTGGTAAACGAAGATTCATCAGAGCTGGTAAACAGGGACCATTCACTTGATGTAGCGTCCGAGAAGTCCGTGCTAACCGAATCGGCAAAAGCATCATCGGTGTGATATAAATTTTGGGACCTCAACTTGGCATGCTGATCTTGCCTGTAACCTTCCTCCTCTGGTCTAAAATCATAAATACCACGGCTTTGATCATCAGAAGTAAAGAGTGATTCTGTCTGCTTCTGCTCTTGTTTAGAAGAGCCCTTGGAGGATTTTGATGAGTGACGATATGAAGATGATGGATCAGGCAATAGGCCTTTCTCAATGTATATCCTCGGAGGGCGAGGAAAAGATCTAAATGATAAATGTTAAGACTAGTGAAGACAAGGAAATAACTCGAATATTAGATGGCAAATATCACAGGCTGGCTGTACCTCAAGTAGAATAGCATATATGCACCTTCTGACATAACTTGATTCAATGATACAGCCTTGACCTTCGTATAACAAGAAACAAGTAGCCACATCAGCTCACACAAATTCCCAGATTTTATATTTTGTAAACATACATGACCGTATAAAAATATGACTACAGAAAAGACATCACATGAAATAAGTGTGACTATTTGATTGTTCGCCGTCACAAAGCACAAGCAGACTTCAATTCATTTCAAGTTCCATAAGCACTAAAACAGTAAGATTACAACATAATTGCATTTCAAAAGAGTATACTATGAGCTGCTAGTTTTCTAAACTCGTGATTATGTTTGCTTCTTTAAAAGAAATACATATCTATGTGATTCCACTAGTCTAGAATAACTTCTAAAAGCAACACATACAGAAGTTCTTAATCTACTTCAAGGAAATTTATGAATACCTCTGAGTCATCAATTCTTAACCATGTTCCCTGCATATCTTTGACATACGATATGTAGTGACCAGAGAATGATGCATTTTCTGTATCCACATGTACAACCACAGCATACAAGAAGTAAAGAGGCGGGTGATCACCAGCCCCAGTCACAAAAGGAACCATGTCCAACATATCAGGAAAAGTGACACATTTGTTAATCTTGCCATACTTTCCTGTCTGAAGCACGAACAAAATTAGCTCAATAAACTAATCTTAATAAGCAATCAAACAAACAATTATATTAGTGTGCTAAGGAAACTTCTTCAAAATGAGCATTTAGTTTTAGCGGGGTTTGGTTGCAATTTGAAGATGTAAAACACAACATCATGAAATTCTACATAAATTAGTCATTAATATCATACTGATAAATGTATACTCTATGATAACTGCACACAAGTATTACTATACTTCGAAACATGCAGCTGAAAATTAGAGATAATACAAAGATACTGGGCGCGCACAAGTATTACTATACTTCGAAACATGCAGCTGAAAATTAGAGATAATACAAAGATACTGGGCCAGATCAATATTGCATACAGAGATGAAATACATAATACCTGGAATCTTTTTAAAACTACTGTTAATATGTTCGGCACTTCATGCACGCTTAGCTGTTTTCTAGCTTTAACATAAGCACAACACCTGCAGTAAAATTAACAAGCTTTAATATGCTGTGGTCCGATCAAAATGATGAGAAGATTGTTAGTTTGCCACAGTACCTTCCACATTTATACATATTATCCCCATCTAAATCTTCAGGAGCAGTGAACTGTGTCAAAGCATCTTGCAAGGACTCCACCCAACCATGAATCTCCAAAGTAAGATCCATTATATTCTCGTATCTTTCAGATTCATGATGGCATCTGAGGCACTTAACCTTGTTTCATTTACTAAATTAGTTAGTATATGATAGAAAAATAGTGCTTAACTAACTAGCTAGAGAGCCAGCAGAAAAGAAAATACAAGGAACGAATCTGCAACTTATGCACACACGCAAAAGGATATTCGATATAAACTGTAACAACTTGAGCACACGATTAAGGAAATTTGCAGCACTAAAAATGAAATCAAGTCAGAAAATTACGAGTTACCTTCGATTTAAGGCGTCCACCAAACATCTGTTGTATCAGTGTAGTTTCCTGCAAGCTTTGTTCTACTTGCTTCTCACCACCCAGTCCATCCAGGCACGCTGCTTGCATAGACATCACAAGATGCCTGGTTGTGTTGAAAATCAAGCACATTATGAACAAAATGTTAATACATGATCAATACAAAAGGGATAGAGTAGGTCTGACAGATTTAGAGCAACAATTGTCATTTTCCCCTTCCCATTTTCCCCAACCCACTTGATAGTGTTGACATAAGAGACCATGAGAATATAAGAAAAGTTCATATTTAAAGCCTCTTAAATATTCAGAATACATCAACAAATTAATAGACTAGTCTGTTCCAGGAGACTAGGGAGAGATTAGTTGTTGCCTTCTTGGACTGATGATCTTTCTTATTTTCTGTTTCAATTAAACAGGATTATCAGTCAATCATCAGTTAACAGCAACAAGCAACAATAACAAAGCCTTTCAGTCCCAAACAAGTTGGGGTAGGCTAGAGTTGAAATCCATAAGATCTCGAGACCTAGGGTTTTGGCACGTGGATAGCTAACTTCTACAAACAAGTTGGGGTAGGCTAGTTCTTTGGTGATATTCCAGTCCTTCAGGTCTCTCTTTACGGACTACTCCCATGTCAATTTTGGTCTACTCCGACCTGTCTTGACATTAACAACACACTTTAATCTTCCTCTATGCACCGGCACTTCTAGATGCCTACGTTGTATATGACCAAACTATCTCATACGATGTTGGACAAGCTTCACTTCAATTGGTGCTACCCCAACTATATCTACCTCAGACAATGTTGGACAAGCTTCACTTCAATTGGTGCTACCCTAACTATATCTACCTCAGACGATGTTGGACAAGCTTCTCTTCAATTGGTGCTACCCCAACTCTCATGTATATCATCATTCTGGACCCGATCCTTTCATGTGTGGATGTGCATCTCTACTACATCTAACTGTTGGACATGTCATCTTTTAGTTGGCCAACAATTTGCGCCATACAACAACGCAGGTTGAATTGCCATCCTATAGAACCTGCCTTTTAGCTTTTGTGACACTTATGACAGAGGACGCCAGAAGCTTTGTGCCACTTCATCTATCTGGCTTTGATTTGATGGCACACATCTTCATCGATATCACCATCCTTCTGCAGCATCGACCCCAAATATTGAAAGGTGTCCTTCTGAGGTACCACCTGCCCATCAAGGCACCCCATGTACTGAAACCGCACCCCAACTTACTCAGTTTTAGTTCTACTGAGCCTAAAATCTTGATTACAAAGTCTGTCTCCACAGTTCTAACTTTCTATTAGTAGTCACTCCACAATATTCAGAACAAATTTTGATTGTGTTGTGACTAACAGAATATGTTAAAAGCGAAACACCGAAACTTTGGTTTCATCTAAATCAGAGGCCACCCTTGTTAGAATCGGTTTCATCTAAATCAGAGACCACCCTTGTTAGAATCAACAGGAAATAGTGAGAAAAAAGAGGAATGAAAAAAATAGAATAAGAGGAATTAAATCTAACATGTCAGCTAAACTACCTTAAAAATTCATGAGCATCTTCCTGACTTCCACCACCCAAGCGACATCCAATGTTCCTTAGATTCGAAAGGATTCTGCTTGGAGACACAGGTCCACCACTTTCACGTAAAGTTGAAGCATATTGCTCAAGTTCGCACATAAGACACCAGTTCTTTGAGCAACCTATACGAAGATAACAAAGTGTAAGACGGACAGGAGTAGACAACTGTATTATTACTTTTACCCTGTGCAGACAACAGTACTGAAGGGGCAAATGTTATGGGCTTAGTATTACAGTCTTTAGAATGCAATCTCAGAAGCAGGTGGATCATCAGGGGTTTTGTGCACATGAGGCATTGTAGAACAGCATTAGCATAGCAGCTGCAAGAAAGGACAATAGTCATTACATATAACCCATGACAAGCTACAATTTAACTAATTAAATGTTCAATTTGCAGAAACAGAAGAAGCAACATTTGGCTCACAATTTGCTTGACTAAATAAAGTACACCTTATTTAAATTAATTCTTTCGTAATATTTTTGGTACACAGGAATTATCTTAATTTTATTTAGCTGCACGTACAGTATGATTTAATTATATTGTTGCACCATTTTTAAAATTTGCTAATTTACCAATCTATGTGTTTGATACTTGTGAATCACCTCCTACTGGAAATTCAGTTTCACCCCTCCTGTTAAGATTCTTAGATTGGTTATTTCCAGAACATATTGCATGTTGTTCATCTTCTACAAAATTTGCACAAAAAAAGGGCAGCCCGATGCACATAGCCCCCGCTTGTGCAGGATCAGGGGAAGGGTCCAACAACTTTGTGTCTTTTGTACGCAGCCTTTCCCTACATTTCTACATGAGGTTGTTTCCAGGACTCGAACCCATGACCTCATGGTCACAAGGCAACAGCTTTACCGCTGCGCCAAGGCCCCCCTTCTACAAAATTCGCATATAAGAACAAAAACAAATTAAGTCAGCACGACAGTTTAACAAAGACAATGGAATGACTGCTGGATACCGAACAGTGCGTCAAGGAAAATCATCACTGTCCGGGGAAACCAAGTGCTAACCCGGGTATGTGAGTTAATAGACCCAATTTCTGGAGAGTGGGATGAGCAGTTGATCCGTGAGAACTTCTGGCACATTGATGCCGAGCGCATCTTGCAGATCCCTTTATTTCATGCGGAGACAGAAGATTTTGTAGCGTGGCAATTAACAAAGAACGGGGTTTTCTCAGTTCGGTCTGCGTATTATAAACAATGGGAGGCAAATTTTGATGAGAATGATCTGGGCCTAGTACGTTACTCCACGGCGCCACACCCAATCTGGTGCAAGTTATGGAGTCTGAAGGTGCCAGCAAAGATAAAGATTTTTCTGTGGCGATGCTTACACAATGCTATCCCATGCTTCAGTGTTCTCGCAAATCGCCATATAGGGAGTATATCTCAATGCCCAGTCTGCCAAGATGGTGCGGAGGATATATCTCATGTCCTATTCCAGTGTGCACGATCGAAGGCCGTTTGGGATGCACTCGGACTCAGCGCAGAGATTCAGTTTGCTGCTGTAATAGACCGAGCTGGTGCGTCTGTTATCGATTTCTTATTATGCGATGAAGCTTATCAGAAGGCGTACACTGGTCAGGTTGAGCTATCGGAGATGATAGCCACAACATGCTGGTATCTGTGGTTGCAGCGGAGAGAATTCGTCAAAGGGGAGGAGCTGCAAACGCCGGAGAGGACAGCACCTGCGATTGGCGCTTGCCCTCAACTACGCTCGTGCTGTAGGGAAATGTCCGACTGTTGCTAAATTAAACAAGTGGCCATCTTACCAGGGCTTCTAGTTCTGAACGTGGACGCATCCTATTTTGCTGGGACAAATTCAGGTGCATGCGGGGCGGTTGTCAGGGATCATAAAGGCCGTTTCATCACAGCTGCAACAGCAAGACTTGAACACGCCGCTGATGTTGTCGCGGCAGAAGCAGCGGCACTGTTTGAAGGTTTAAAATTAGCCCTAAGTGTGGGATGTGCTAAGTTGATGGTAAGAATGGACAACAGTGTTGTGGTGGATGCAATAAAGCTAAACGAAGGCCATTCAATGGTTGCAGCGCCTGTGTTAGATGATTGCCGAAATATCTTGAATGATTTTGGGAAGGTTACTATTGAGCATTGCTTTAGAGAGTCAAATGTAGTAGCTCACGAGCTGGCAAAGTGGGGGTGTGCAAACGACCCTCATTTGGGCGGATGCACCTCCTAATTTTCTTGTTAAATTTCTAGCGGATGATGTAACCGTTATTTGAGTTAATAAAGTATACCTTCCCGTCAAAAAAAAAGACAATGGTAATACCTGTTCCCACAGTTGAAAAGACCTCTGGGAGAAATACCCCGTACTTCATACTGGAAGAACTTAACAAGATCTTCATAGCAAAACAATACCTGAAATTCCTATTTAGAACAAAGTAACATTACATACCAAAACAGCGCAGTAACTCAAGACAAGAGTTATCATAGATGATTCCAAACCTTACTCCTCTTGTTATCATTGATTAAACCCACCAGGCTGGTTTTGAGAAATTTTGAGGGCTTCTTCAAGACTTCAACCTTGGATGCTCCTAATTTTGAGATTCCAGTGCATCCTTGTAAATTGTTGTTCGTTGAAACACTTGATTTTGCAGATCCTACAGGATACAATACATATGTGAGATTAAAGAGAAAAATACAAGGAAAAGGTAGCCCGCTTCAAGAGAGAAGAAACATTACTTTGCTCATTTTTGCAGGAAGTGTTCTTTTGATGGACATTGTATTGATATGATGCCAACACCTCCTGTGTTTTTTGTGATGAAACCACCTTACCTGGTGGATAAGGAGGCTTCATATAAATCGCATTTCCTCGCCCACTATATTTGCAAGATGATTTGCTCCTCTGTAGTGACTCTGTTGCGGAAGAATATGGCCCCTCGCAAGAACTCGTCATATCAGAAGTAAAATAGACACCCATGTCGGGTTCATAAACTGTGATGCTTGCTTTTGGACATTTTGTTGTTTCAGGAGCACAATTATTGGGTTGTTGTACCGTATTATTGAGAGGATAAGTAAAATCATGGTTGCCATTCTTTTCATCTAAACAACCATAACTGTTGTTTGAAACCTGAAAGCGCAAGGTAAAGAACTGAATGACACAAACTTGGAGAATAAAAAATGAACTAGAAGATATGCTACCTTATTTGCTGATAAAATCTCAGATGAGTTGGTTTCTTCATCAACACTGTAATTGCTCTTTTCACAAGATGCAACAGAAGCGCTATTTACTATTGAAAGAAGACTTTGATTTGATTCATTCATGTTGCTTCTGTCTGTCAGGAATAGATCAGTATCAAGAATATAGCTATCAGTTGTCGCAAATGATGGCTCTGATACTGTGTCAAAATTCATGTCATGCAGGTGACTGTCACCCCCTGGAAGAGGTGAATTCAGGTTAGTCAAGAACGGCATTTGTTCAGAACTCTCCGTCGGAGATAGTCCACCAGAGTTGCTACCACCATTAACATGCCACTGCTGGCATGTTTGTTTATGCCCTTGCCTCCAGTGTATAATTTGACACTTTCCAGAGCTGTGGAACATTCAAAGTGGCATTAAAAGTGGCCACAACAACAGAGCAATATAATTTTTACATTCATCACACAAGCAAGAGAGTATCGCATGACAAACAGAGTCATGGTGCAGGGATAAATCAGTTGTAAATTCAGCATTTTTAAGAGACTGGAGTTATTAGATGTGTTGCTTGCTCCAATCAGGCGCTGGATTATATGCAGTGACAGGGTACTCAATCCTACCAAAAAAAAAGGGCAGCCCGGTGCACGTAGCTCCTGCTTGCACAGGATCCGGGGAAGGGTCCGACCACTTTGGGTCTATAGTACGCAGCCTTTCCCTACATTTCTGCAAGAGGCTGTTTCCAGTGCTCAATCCTACCAGCTTAACTAAAATTTGATATGTCACCAATGAAACGAAATAAGTGACTCGCCCACTTTGGTGACATAATAGTGGTACAGTTCTTTTTCAGAAATGAAATCATTATAATAAATAAACAGCAGATAATAAAGTAAGATTCATACACCTATTTGTGTGTACACGACTTTTTGGAGTTTAAGTTCATACCAGAGAATAATAGGTCAGAATCTTACCAGTATCTAACAGATTTGCACCTGGAGCACCTAGTCTTTGCAGGGCCACGACAAGTAGCACACTCGTGGTATTCTGACCTTAAAGAAGGAACAGATCTCAAATAAGGCATGGGTCTCAGAGACGGTCCTGGCAATATAACATCTGGGCATGCCATTGTTTCAACTTTGAAGGCTTCTTCTGCAGCTTTCTGGCCAAGCACACCTACTCTTGTTTTCTTACTTACAGAATCATGCCATCTCCCAAGAAGAAAATATGCTATCACCGGAAGTACGATAAATACAACAAAGAGTGCAGGCACATCAGCTTCCCTTGGTTGGAGCATATCCCTAGAAGATTATTATTATCCAGCTCCAAGACTTCTCTGCTTCAGCTCGGAAAAACATTCCAAATCACTGATTTACCTACAGAAAACAGCAAAGCTGAAAACAAGAATCACAGTTTCCACTCTCTCAGAAGTGGAACATGTTAAGAGAAAATGATTGCGTTCAAACATTTAAGGGGCTAGGACAGGATTAAGCATATCAAACGAACCAGCTCACTGGAGTTTCCTTTTACATGTCCTAGAAGCTCACTCCCATTGGGGCTTCAGTTCACTTGGGATTTGGCTTACACTTATATGATACTCCCTCCGTTCCGAATTACTTGTCGCGACGAGTAATTTGGAACGGAGGGAGTAATATCAAGAAGCTCCCACTTGTCTTGCCATGGCTTCAACTTACAAGCACAACCATACCATAGTACTCCCTCCGTTCACAAATACTTATAAGATGTTCTGTGAATTGGATGTATATCAAGAAGCTCCCACTTGTCTTGCCATGGCTTCAACTTACAAGCACAACCATACCATAGTACTCCCTCCGTTCACAAATACTTATAAGATGTTCTGTGAATTGGATGTATATAGACATGTATTAGTGTGTTTGTTCACTCATTTCAGACTGTATGTAGTCCATACTAAAATAACCAAAACATCTTATATTTGTGAACGGAGGAAGTACTATATTCACTGAAATTAGAGATACACGGTTTCCCAAAATGATTAATTGCCTTAGAATGTTAGGGCCAGAGAGATAAGTTCACTTTGTGGCTCACATCACCTCTTTATACTATATCCAAATCCTCCAGCAAATCAACCACTAGACTACCGGAAACAGCATGGAGGGCAACAAAACTAAATTAAATCTTTGCATGTGGCTCCTTTGGGCATAGCTCATGGATGGCGTCCAAACTCTTATCCGACATACGTATTTTGTATTTTCGACAAACTACACTCAAGTTTAGGAAAACGTTTGGCGCAAAAGATTGGGCGTATGAGATGGCAACAGAAGCAGTAAATCAACATCGCCAAAAATACCACAAAGCAATGGGCAGCACATTCCCGACAGCAAGATCAAATAGTTCTCTGGCGCATCTCAAAATAATAATAAATAAACAAAAGGATCCGGCGCCCAACTCTAGCTCCAAATGAGAATCCTACAAGCTCCGAGATCCCAAGCATACAACCAGTGGTGAATGCGCCCGCCGAATTTCCGAGGCAGTCGCACCGACGTCCAGGGACGGGAAAAAACCCCAGACACTAGCAACAGCAGACTGCGTAAGAGGCGCACGGAGTGCTTCGAAAAGCCTCGATTTTTCGCAGAACGGACGAAAGAAAAACACAAATCAATTGAGACTAGGGTTTACCCAGAAAGACAAATGTCGCTCCGGGCGGATCTCCAACGGGGGCGAGCAAGCGGAGCAGCAGTCCCGGACGGTGGTTCTGGAGGAGATCGCGGTATATAGGGGTAGGGGATGGAGAAGCTCTAGCCGAGGATGGCAGCGCTGCCGGCGGCTGAAGGAATCGGGAGCGGCGGTGGGAGTGACCGACTGTGGCTCGCTCGCTGTTGCTTGGCTACTGTGCTCTGCTCATGTGTGCGCGTTTTTGCTTTGGTTGTGCTCGGTCTCGGTTAGCTTGGCTCTTTTCAGCGTCTTTGGTTGGGTCAATTAGAGTGACGGAATGGAAATTAAAGCGGTACGAGATTTTAAATCTATTACGTAGTAGTATTTGGTTAGGGGCTGTAAATTTATAAAGGAAAAGGATGGGATTTGATACTCCAGCTTTCACCGTTTTATTATCACGAGATGGGTGGAAGTTGGAAGGGAATTATTTTAGACTAGCTACAATGGGTAGTAATATGTTACTATTCTATGTTACTATCTTTATAGTGGGAAGTAACATATGTATGGTAACATACAACATTTCATTTATTAGGCTATAGACTCATCTTATCTTGATATATGTGATGTTACTCATATTAATAGTAAGTAGCTATGTTATCACATGTCTCTCTTTCTTCATTTATTGCTTGCCACATCATACATTTTATCTACATATGTGTGATGTTACTACATATGTTACTCCCACTGTGGGTAGTCTTAGAGTGCTCACAATGGGAAGTATCATAGAGTAGTAACTTGCCGATGTTACTAGTCTATGTTACTATCTCCATAATGGGTAGTAACATATGAGTGGTATCATAAAAGAGTTCATTTATTAGGCTATAGACTCATTATGCCTTGAAATGTGTGATATTACAGTAACTAGCTAAGTTACCACAAACCCCTCTCTCCTCATTAATTATCTGCCACATAAGCAATCTTGTATTGAAATGTGTGATATTACTTGTTAAGTTACTCCCATTGTGACTAGTCTTAGTGACTCACAATCTTTAACCCTTCGTCATAATTTATGTTCACTTTCCTGGTCTACTCTTTCGTCAATTCCCATGAACCAAACAAAGAAATAAAAATTCTCCTCAAATTTCCACAATGCACCAAATAGGGATTAGGAATAAAATGGCTCATCACATGTCAAATCTTAATATAACCCCCTATACTAAACTTCCGATCCTCTTCCCAAATATTGCCAAATACGTTGTTTGTTTATGACCCCTCCTTGGTCATGGTTGAAAAGAGGATTTAGATCCACGGAAGGACTGCGTTTTTCCTTCTAATCATCCGATTAGATAAGGAACGGTGCTTATTAAGAGACAATTTTTAACATCAAGTTAGGAGACACTCTTATATAAGATAATATGTTTGATGTAGAAAAGAAAATTGACGAAACACGGCAAGTTGCTGCTTTTTCATTAAGAGCATCTGTACCGTTAGTATCCGCTAAAAGCTCATCGATCCGGAAAATTTCAAACGATATGCGGGTTTTGACTGTTTTACGGTCTGAACAGATCCACTAAAAACTCGTCGTCGTGTAAAAAAAACATGAGGGGACCCGGATATGCGCCTCTCCGCGGCTATATGTGCGGGTCAGGGCATTTAGGTTTCTTAGATCAACAAAGAGGGGTTCCCTGGGTCCGTTACTTAGAAAGAAGCCCGCAAAAACAGGTCTGCTACATTATGCAAATATAGTAGAAGAAAGGAGTCTAGCGGCTAAAACAGCTAAAATGACTGATAACAGTAGGCACCCTCACGGTTAACACCACAAGACAATTAAACTGAGATAAGTGCCAGCTTAACGGGACCACTTTCCACTTTCACTTTCATGATAGGAGGGATGTTGGAGATCCCGAGACTTCCAAAACAGAGACGGGGCTGTGCCTAGCAACAACACCTCCTCCCCTCAGCTTGTGTGGAGACGTGATCTCCTTGAAGGTGTCTACCCCATCGTGATCACCATTGTCCCTCACAGCAGATTTTGGAGGTGGAGATATAACAAGTCTATCATCTTCAGCATGTGATCCTTGTAGAGCACACGCAATTTCTTGATTATTCTTAAAAAAAGCGATCAAATATGTTCAAGAGACAGCCAAGGCACACCATTAAACACCAAATTGTGCATGTGCTTCCATAAAGCCCAAAGAGCAATAGCAAAGACAATATTTGGAGCATCTAATCTTTTTCCAGCCACCCAAAGAGAGGAAATACTAGTGACAGAATCTCCCGGATCCATTTATTTAGGACAGTATAAGCGAGCCTAATCTGAGCTCTCTCACGCTACCCGTATTTTTAACCATTCGATTTCGCATATGGATGGTCTCTGGCCGTAGATCTGCCCTTAATGCACCGTTTGCGGGCTGTCCTAAGTGGACGCTACTCCGGGAGAAAAAACCAAGCAATGTGGTTGATTGGGCCTCCCAGCCCAAAAGCCATCTGATCCAGAATCAGCGACTCCGCACCTTCTTCCCTCACCCGGCCGCATCCATCCAATCACGCTCCAGACCTAACCCCATGTCGGCGAAGGTGAAGTGAACAACGATGACGGACAATCCCAGAGATCCGGATTAGCACCATGACGACGCGCGCGTCCCACTCCTCCGACCATGAACCCGAGCGGCAAAGCCCATGAAGACTTGGCGGCGCTGCGGGTAGAACCGGCGTCCCAGGCGAGCTACATCCAAGATGGTCGCCGCGCTTTTGCCCTCCCTCCACACCCGTTGTTCCTTCCCTGCAGGTACAGTTCACCCCCTTACACAATATGCCTATAGTGGACCGGGAGATATTTTGTCTTGATCTATTAGTCTTCCTCGTGTAACAATCCATCTCGTCACCTCTCCTCCCCCTTCCGATGACGTGGTTATGGCGTGGCTGGGCGTGTATCTCAAATCCTCCCATCAGGCTTGACTCCTTTCTTTCAGGAGACACGGGTTGGCTCAGCCGGAGTGGTTCCTCCTCCTCCCTTCTCGCTCTGTAGGTGGAGAATGTTTTTCACTAAGGGTGTGGGCGACTGGTCAGGCCGATCGATGTTAAAAGTGCTTCCTTATGGTGGTTCTTATTCTTCTATCTATTGGTATAATCTCCCTCCTCAAAGCCACATGATGTTTGCTTTTCATTCCATTCTACTATCGATGCATGTGATCTGTTAATTGTTGATTTGTGTAGCAGGGCATGCGACAAAAGGACATGTATGCATCATGTCAGCTGGTACAGATCTGCATCTATAGATGAGGTCAGTGGTGTGGAGCACTTGACCTTGATTTTATTTGACACGTGATGTTGGCAACTCCCTGGATGCATTTGTTGACGTTGTTTTGCTTACTCCAGTGCATGTGCTCTGAATTGTTGGGTTTGATCTATGTTCTGCTGGGTGTTGGGTTCTCTCTTGCCGCTCCAGTCGGCCAGGTTAGTATCCAAGTCATATTACTATGTAATGCCACTCGTGAGTGTGACTTTGATTGAAATAAAATAGCACTAGCTACCGGCTGTTGTTTTTGCTGTATGCAAGTTTGTTCACAAAAAATGAGCAAATGAAATATTAAATGTTGTAGATACTTAGCAAAGCAAACTTCACAGCGATGAAAACGACAACATCTTGACTATACATATAAG